TGACTGGCTAACAACGCGTGTGTTTGTAACGGTCACAGAAACTCGGAAGTTTTCTCCACAGAAACCTTTTTATTTCGCAAAGTATATCAGTCACTTGTACAAAACATAAATTCTCTGTTGGCCCCTAAAAGGGTTGTTTTCAAGACCTGGCGTATTGGATTAAACAATCAGAATCTATGAGCTCTAACCATGGATCTCATTCGTCTAGACAAGGACTTGATTGGAGATCGAACAACACATAGAGTCAAAGAAACTCCGCTCTTAAGCGACCTTGTAACGGAGACTCGGAGATACTTCGGTGGCCGTCTAGAGTTCTTGCTGTCTACACATAAATGTTCTTTTGTTACAGATTTTATTCTCTACTTTATTTTTCACGTTAATTAATAGTCTGATAAAAGAGGGCAAACTTACGTTGTCACAGATAGTTCAGTTGGCAGCGTGTTTGTATACGCGGTTCGAATTCCAATCAGGTGATTTTGTCAATCAATATGTCTCTTCAAATTTTTGGTGACGCAAAAGAATGGACTGGATGTCGTACTGATGAAGAAGATGCAATGTTCCATCAGGATATAAGTGTAATATAAATACGATTCACTTGCTGTGGTTTAAATCACGACATACAGCCTTCATACCAGTAAATCACAAGAGATTTATGAATACACTCCCAAGCGAAATATACCAAATCCTTAACCTATTCACCACTCATTATCGATTTCCGTTTAGTTCGATTTTATATAACATACGCAGTTAAAAAAATAGAGTTGAAGTCTTTGAGTACTCATTGCCCTGAAGATGGAGACAGTAAGGACCTCTGAGGTAAAGTTCTACCAGATTACACGGCGCGACAACCCAGAAGGCAGCCATCTTCAGAATCGCCGCCGTGAAAACCTCAGATCCTACTCGGTCGATCTTTGTAATGGTGAAGTGCAGTGTTTTCTTCGCGGTACGGACTGAATTATATTAAATGATACTTAGACGAGCTTCGACTTCAAAGGGTCACACTGGCGTTTGACATTTGTTCAGGACACAAAGAACACGTCTCACGAAAAAGATGGCTGTCTTCTGGGTCTTTGTCCTGATGATAGAAGCAGTAACCACCTCTGAAACGTCGGTAAACTTCTACCAACAACCCAGAAGTCAGCCATCTTCAGCCTCCCCGCCGTAAAAACCTCAGATCCTACTCGGTCGATCTTTGTAATGGTGAAGTGCAGTGTTTTCTTCGCGGTACGGACTGAATTATATTAAATGATACTTAGACGAGCTTCGACTTCAAAGGGTCACACTGGCGTTTGACATTTGTTCAGGACACAAAGAACACGTCTCACGAAAAAGATGGCTGTCTTCTGGGTCTTTGTCCTGATGATAGAAGCAGTAACCACCTCTGAAACGTCGGTAAACTTCTACCAACAACCCAGAAGTCAGCCATCTTCAGCCTCCCCGCCGTAAAAACCTCAGATCCTACTCGGTCGATCTTTGTAATGGTGAAGTGCAGTGTTTTCTTCGCGGTACGGACTGAATTATATTAAATGATACTTAGACGAGCTTCGACTTCAAAGGGTCACACTGGCGTTTGACATTTGTTCAGGACACAAAGAACACGTCTCACGAAAAAGATGGCTGTCTTCTGGGTCTTTGTCCTGATGATAGAAGCAGTAACCACCTCTGAAACATCGTTAAATTTCTACCAGACTACACCGAGCTACAATCCAGAAGGCAGCCATCTTCAGAATCACCGCCTTGAAAACCTCAGATCCTACGTAAACTCGATTGCTGCTGGAAAAAACAACAACAAAAAACCGAAACTCCTTCCAGTAATTTTGGACGTAAACACACAGGCAGACATGCACTGTTCCTTGAATTCGTTTCAGCCACTGCGTTTTCTCCAAACAAAAACAATTATAAACAAGAAAGTTAGTGTTAAGTGGATGAGAACAAAATGATGCATTGACATGTCAGTCTTCTGGCTGCATGAAACCACAGATGGCGCCACTTACGTAAAACAGGGCTGCCCAGTCTTAACGACCTTGCGAAATTAGCAGCGAACTGTCGTGCCCCGCATAAACAATGCGATCATGGGTTCGAATCCCGTTTTTATTTTCCCACGTTGCGTTGGTCAGACGCTGCACCCACATACCTATTGTCGTTTATTGTAATAAGGAACTATCTAACCTGTGCCGTAGATCAGTGGTATTCGACCTTTTTTGTTCGCGTACCCCCCAGATATGATTTCTCTTCAACTTTGTACCCCCAAAGTTGTTGGTGTATAATTCAAGTTATACATAGTATATAATCTATATCTAAAATAAATTAAATAAATTACATTACTGATTATTCAGTGTTTATCATAAAATAATTTCTATTTTTTTTAAATTTCACGTACCCCCTAAGATGTCTTCGCGTACCTAAGGTTGAATACCACTGAAGTAGAGGAAGCCAATATTCGAAATGGGCTCTAGGAACAAAATGGATGAAAGCAGAACACAGAAACTGCTAAAGAGACGGCTGGAACGCCGGAATGTTATTTGATCACTAATAACGAACGTCGTCCAGTTACGTAACAGACATTTGTCTCAGCTTGAGAGAAAAAAAATCCTTCATCAAGAAAATAAACATAATGAATAGACAGAATTTTTATGGATGACGTCTCAGCGTCTATTACGATGATTCTATATAATTTACTTTAAAGATCCAGCTTCCGAAAAGTTATATATTTTTATTCGTACTTGTGATTTGGACGATGGACAAAGTCCAGAAGAGAATTTTTCTTAGAAGGTTTAAATTTACATAGCTCGGTGTAATACACATGCTCAGATGCTATAAATATGAGATCTGGTTTTTTTTTCAAGGCGGTGGAATTGTTGATTGTGGCCTCCCAAAGATGGAGTTAATTCATACGGTGGTCAGAAACGCTGATAATCACCACACGGCATTACGACAGAGAAGACCATAATTTACGTTACCATAAACAGTTATATCATCGGATATGGAAAACAAGAGACTGTAGGCGATATGTTTTAGGCCAGTTAAGAGCCAGATTCATCTTCTGCTTTCTTTCTTGAGGCCAAGTTGTGCATGCATAATATTCTGACGTCTCAAGTGGCCATGAAATCCAACCGCACCGATTCGTTGCGCGGTTATAATCTGTGGTAACTTCCATATCAGAGGACGAAAGGGGCACTGGATTTGAACAAAATTCAAAATCGATGTTAGCAGCAGTGAGGGAAAGAAACGTAAAAGATCTTTTAAAATGCAATGGGGAATAATTGCTTACTTTTCGACCCCGTAGCTTCCTTTCCTTTTATCTTTTCCTTATAACTATTCCGACACTTTTTTTTTGTCAAGTTGGCTCGAGTTCGGCAGTAGAGCTTCACAGATATCTTCAGTTTCTGTCACTGTACTCCGATATGGCCGAACTGTTCTGTGACTTCAACATACCTATTCCATTATAACAAAAGCTAAAACGATGCATACCTAATCACACATGCAACGTAAAGGTCCCAAATATAACCTAACAAATACCACCCTAACCTAACGCAACCCAACCCGACCCAACCTAACCTAACCCAACCTAACCTAACGCAACCCAACCTAACCTAACCCAACCTAACCTAACGCAACCCAACCTAACCTAACCCAACCTAACCTAACGCAACCCAACCTAACCTAACCCAACCTAACCTAACGCAACCCAACCTAACCTAACCCAACCTAACCTAACGCAACCCAACCTAACCTAACCCAACCTAACCTAACGCAACCCAACCTAACCTAACCCAACCTAACCTAACGCAACCCAACCTAACCTAACCCAACCTAACCTAACGCAACCCAACCTAACCTAACCCAACCTAACCTAACATAACCTAACTTAACCTAACCCAATCTAACCTAACAGCACCGCATCGAAAATGAAGCATGTTGCGGCCGACCAAAACCCTATTAGCGGTAAAACTATCGCACATGCGCTCTCTTCCTATTGAAACAGTGAGTTTCAACAACGTATCAGAGAAACCGCTGTTGTCCAAACCGCTCGTGCGCGCATGGTCTCAGTTATTTTTAGTAGTTAAGCGCATAACTTGACGGCAGGGGTTTGATTCACGGCTGCACCTCAAGACCAGTTCTAGAAAGCTCCAAGTTTGTTTTCACACAGTCTATATTCCTCTGTGATATGCTGCTTAGACACAGGGATAACTTCCCATTCTCTGTGCATTTTACATCATCTTTTCTCTGTAGTCTTAAATCGAGTCGTATCTAGATTGTAAAATGTACAACATTTTTAATTCTTCTTGTGAAGACAGCAGATGAGAAGCAATGATTATTTTAATATTTATTTTTATTTTATTTAACGACACTTTCAGTATCTTGACTACATAGCGTCAGATGAGATGATAAAAATGAGTAATGAAGTGGAAAGAATTTTAGATGCTATCCGGCATTTTCCTGGAGGTACTGAGGAAAAACACGAAGAACATTAGTCATGATTGTCTGTCTGAGGGCCGAGATTTGAACCCAGGACCTCCCGAGTATTAAGACGGAGAGGGCATTGAGTAATGAAGCTTTATTAAGTACTGGATTATTTATTTATGATCGTGTCTCTTTATTAAAATTTGAAATTGACTTCAGAGATATGGAAAGTGTATTTCTTAAAGAACAATACAAATAAGTTTTAATACGTCTTTTTCTACAAATAAAGCAACTCATCAGATGACTGTTTTTAATTAACTAGCGTGTAAGTTGTCACGTGTAAGAAAGAGATATTGAATGTGAATTAAGTAGATTTAAAAATACGTTACGTGGTGTATTCCGAAGTGAACGTTAGAGAAGAAAGTTCTGCTATAATCTCTACTGAAAATATGTAATTATAATGTGACGATAACTACGTGTCTTACTAAATTAAACACGGGTGTCAAATTCAACTCATTTCGAGGTTATTCGACAAGAACTAAGAATCAATTGAATAAAAATTTTCTTGGATATTATCCATCGTCTAGTAAATATAAAACGTAAAAAACGACGTTTCGGAGATGGGACTCTATCTCCGTCTTCAGGTTCTGAAGAGTCATTTGAATAAAAATTTCCTTCGATATTACCCATCGTCTAGTAAACATAAAACGTAAAAAACGACGTTTCGGAGAGTTTTGGAGAGTGAAATGTTCCAGGCTAAGAAAGTCCGTGCTTGTAACTTTGGGGTGACATGACACGAAGCTGGAAAACCGACGCCGAGCGTTGTAACGCCACCACAAATCTATTATCGCAAAGCTAATCAAAAGAGACATCTCAAAATAATAATCTTGTGTCCAGAAGAAATCTGAATTTTATTTCGTAATGTAGGGCGAGAGAAGAAAACTTATATAAAAGTTCGACATTAACTTCACAAATAACGATAACTGTTCAATAATAAGTTTGTCCCACTATACGCCATGTAGGCGCTTGGGGGGAGTGGAAGTATAGCTCCTCTCTTTCTTGACCTCGGCACTAGATGGGGGTGAGTGGGCAGCATCACGCCCCGGCCGGCTTTACCCCCGGGAAAGGACCCCGGTACCCATTGGATAGGAGGCTGGGTGGGCCCCAGAGCCGGTCTGGACGCAGAGGCTAGAGGAAAAATCCTCTGCCCCCGTCGGGGATCGAACCCCGGTCGTCCAGCCCGTAGCTAGTCATTATACTGACTGAGCTATCCCGGCTCATAACTGTTCAATATTGAAACAAAATTAAATTCGCCCAACAACTTTTGAGTGCAGAACCTCTAGTACCAAATTTAATCGAAATACATTCGGCAGTAAGATCAGAGATCTTCATGGTTTCGGAGATGAAAGGACCGGGCGGACAGACACTACACTCACTACGTGTGATGGCACATAAACGAACACTCGATGGCATTCTTAACCCTCGAAGACATTTTGGTACGCGCGGGGATCACAGGCTTGGTTTGACCATGTCCACTGTTCCTCGCCAACAGGTGCATCTGACCCTTCTTTCAAAGTTATTTGCCTTGGGGGGCTTAAGCACACGAGTACTACCAACAATACGGGAGTAAAAGTGAGGAGAGAGAGAGAGAGAGACAGGGAAATGGTGGGGGTAGGCACCGAAGACATAGCAGGCGGCCTGCAGTGTGTGTTCGTCTTGGACAGAGAGTGGATTGATTGTTTGCAGCGCGTAGCGTTCGGAGGCTCTTCGGAAGAACAGCGAGATGTAAGTAAGTAAGATGCGATCTTAACTCGAGGAGGTGTGAGGTCAGCCTCACGATCCGTCCGTTTTAACCCCAGTATCCACAGCTGGAGATTAAGCAACATGAGATAGAGACAAATACACAAGGAGGAACTTCAAAATCTGTATGTGCTACTGGGCTAATTAACTGCATGACACAAAAGTTATCTTGAGGACTTGATCGCTGATTCATTTCCTCAAGAAATTATCTGTTATTATGCAGCCCGTTACACATTAAGGTCATGACAAAAGAAGCCGATATTTCTTATCGTGTCAATTAAATCCGTTTCATATCTTTATAATATATTATATTATACATTTTTTAATTTCTCCCATATATTCTTAGGTTCCTGCAATGGTCTTGTCCCTTTAAGTTTCTGAATTCTGAATCCGTCGAGTGGCTGAAATACTTGCTTCGTATTCGGGAGGTCCCCGAGTTCAAATTTAGTCCTGGAGAGAGGACGTCTCAAAAAGGTATTCTTGAGTTTACTCAGTCTCTTCAGACACATTCTGTAAAAGTAGCTCAAGTGAGTCTACCACCGCCTCCTTCCACATCCTTTCCTATTCATAATTCATTTATGTGAGCTATTAAAGAGTCGTAAAATAAAAATAAAACCTTAGAGACATAAAGTGATAAAAGTTTAATAAAATTGCATAATAAGAATCTTCATAATTTGTATTCTTCACCAAACATTGCTATACGCCATGAAAGCGCTTGGGGGGAGAGATGATACAGGTCCTACTGATTCTTAACCTCGTCACTAGATGGGGGTGAGTGGTCAGCGTCACACCCCGGCCGCGCGAAACCTCCGGGAGAAAGGACCCCGGTACCCATTGGATAGAAGGATGGGTGGGCCCCAGACACGGTCTGGACGCAGAGGCTAGAGAGAAAAATCCTCTGCCCCTGTCGGGGATCGAGAGGACAGGGTAATGGGATTTTTCATTTGAAATTTGATGTTCTCACGGAAGTAAAGATGACAATGTTGTTTTGGGCTGTGAAGCCGTGTGGATCTTCAGGACTGAAGATGGAGACAGTATGTTTATCCGAAACTTTGCCATGTACAGACGAGTCAACACGTCTTCACAACCCACAAGAACAACGCTGTGATATTATATTTGTATTCAACTTGTTCAGGGTCGTATAAAGTAGCGGGATTTGATATTACAAGCGTTGAAATTTCGGGTCTGGATTGCAGGTGTCTTCTTAGTTTAAAGATGACTTCGACGATTAATATCAACAAACATTTGAAAGGATGTGGGGGGGGGAGGACTATGGTATGTTAGAAATTAACATCAGAGAGACTGAGGAAACCACAAGAAATCTCAGTCGATATAGGGAATATACAGGCCAAGAACTGAACCTGTGACCTCTCGAATACAAAGCAGGAGTGCCACCCACTTCGCCAGGGAAATTGGTACATTCGAATTGTATTACCACGATAGAGTTCATTGTAAACGAATATCTGCGGGTTTTCACTTTGATTCAGAACCGATAATCGTCACGAGATAATTTTTAAAATTCGTGAAAACTGTCTCGGTTTGTTTCGCAAAGATTCCCGAGAAATTCGGAAAGAATCCGTTCTTAAATGAAACACGAAAAACGAATCCCATAACAATAACAATGCTTATTTGAATGTAAACTGAAAACAAAAAAATTTATAAGATGTGTTTTTCGACACATGCCAGGGTTTTGCAAAGTTCATTCCATGTGTTGGAAGAATTGCATTCTCAATGCGCAAAAGACAGTGAATACCGCATATTTTAGGAACGCAAACCGTTGCATCTTTATATATTTAGACAGCGTGATCTGTTACTTTGACGAAAGTAGTAAAGAAATTAGGTCGTGGAGCTTATATATCAGCCTATTTCGCCTAGAACTGTTACGACAATGAAATATAAGAAGGCATAATAGGCTCATCCTGTAACTAAAATGAAAGAGACAAGAAATGTATACAGAATTTTGGAGTACGAATCTCCCTAAAAACATCTGATTGGTCTTTGAAATATGTGGGAATGGGAGGTAGACAGAAGTGGTTCACAATCGAAGACGTCTGTCTTCTATCAGAGTACGTAGCGCGATGACCCAGAAGGGGGTCCATCTTCGTACCGCCGTGAAAACCTAGAACCTCACTTGGTTCAGAATCGTTTCCCCATGGCGAACTTCGGTACTATTATAGCTCCGTCGATTAACAGGTTAATAAATCGTGTAGTGGACAGAATCTCTTCCGAATTACACATTGAAATGCAAAGTTAAGTTTGTCAGAATTATTGCCCTGGGTGTTCACTTACTGAAGATACAAATCTGTTGTTGGCAGAGCTATTCAACAGCAGAGACATAATACTTCACAGAATCAGAAAGCATAACAAATCTAAAAGTCCTTGACGATGGTGAAGATTCAATTGAATAAAAATTTTCTTGGATATTATCCATCGTCTAGTAAATATAAAACGTAAAAAACGACGTTTCGGAGATGGGACTCTATCTCCGTCTTCAGGTTCCTACACAGTTGGGCCCACTAGATAGAGCTAATCCCTATCTCCGTCGAATAAAAATTTCCTTGGATATTATCCATCGTCTAGTAAATATAAAACGTAAAACGACGTTTCGGAGATGGGACTCTATCTCCGTCTTCAGGTTCCTACACAGTTGGGCCAACTAGATAGAGCTAATCCCTATCTCCAGACAAAGTAAAAAGTGAAAGTCCCGGAATAAAAAG